TGTGACAAACAGCAAATACTTGAGGAGAGTTTAAGTATGACGCATTTATCAAATTAACTCCTGATATATTTCCCCACCTTCCAGTAAGCCTCAGTTCAGGAATTTTGGCTTCAAGCCTGCATCCCGATCATTGTCTGAAAGCTACAATGACACTATGATACCATGAGTAGGTATCAATGGCACTATCTTCTGTAAGTTTGTCTAATCCCTTTTGAAGATATTATACTAGCAGTTGCTGAGCAATTTTCAGGGCCTGGCTTTTCACAGAATTCACTTGTATCTTTCCTACAGTTTCATATGAAATGCTTTTTGCTTACTACACTTAGTAAATTATCTTCATGAAATAAGCAATATTTGCATCTGAAATATACCCTAAAGCACCTTCTGGCCTATGGGAAACATCTTTCTATATTTTGGAAATTTATCGAAGTAGCTGCAGTGGCATCTGGCTTCATAACTTCAAAATAATAATATTGAATTTGAAATGAAAAAGAACTTTGTATACACAAGGCAAGATCCAGGTACTGCAGGAAGTGCGGTGAGCAAGGGGTAAAGTGGATTTTTTTTTTTTTTTTTTAAGCTGACACTGAACTGTCTCTGAACTATCCCTGAGGCACACAAATGGTGACGGGTTCTTTATGAACTCCAGTCCTTAAAAAAATCCCATGGAGTTGTGCAAAGCAGGTGAGATCCTACTTGCCTACAGTCACTATGAAAGACATTAGGCTTGATGACTGATAGAGGCTGATAAGTTAAATTATCAACATTTTAACAATATTAAAAAGAAACCAAATGCCTAAGACTTTATTTAAAACCATACATGAAACTGCTGTGCTGTGTTAAGTGGTTGCCAGCCATTATCCTACAAGCATAAAGATTGAAGTGTTCGTGTGTGCTGTCAGATTCTGGGGGTAGTCTGGGATGGAATGTGCTACTGAGTACTAGCATCAAGTGTTTGTCTTAGAATCATAGAATAGTTTGGGTTGGAAGGGACCTCTAAAGGTCATCTGGCCCCCCCCCCCCTGCCGTGGGCAGGGACATCTTCAACTAAATCAGGTTGCTCAGAGCCCCATCCAACCTGACCTGGAATGTTTCCAGGGACGGGACATCCACCACCTCTCTGGGCAACCTGTCCCAGTGTTTCACCACCCTCAGCATAAAAAATTTCTTCCTTATGTCTAGTCCAAATGTACCCCCCTTTAGTTTAAAGCCATTCCCCCTTGTCCTGTCGCAACAGGCCCTGCTAAGAAGTCTGCTGCCATCTTTTTTACAAGCCCCCTTTAAGTACTAATAGGCCGCAATAAGGTCTCCCCAAAGCCTTCTCTTTTCCAGGCTGAACAACCCCAACTCTCTCAGCCTTTCTTCAGAGGAGAGGTGTTCCATCCCCCTGATCATTTTTGTGACCCTCCTCTGGACCTGCTCCAACAGCTCCATGTCTTCGTTATTCTGAGGGCTCGAGCTGGACACAGTACTGCAGGCGGGGTCTCACCAGAGCAGAGTAGAGGGGCAGAATCACCTCCCTCGACCTGCTGGCCATGCTTCTTTTGATGCAGCCCAGGACACCATTGGCCGCCTAGGCTGCGAGCGCACATTGCTGCCTCATGTCCGGCTTTTCATCCACCAGTACCCCCAAGTCCTTCTCGGCAGGGCTGCTCTCAATCCCTTCATCCCCCAGCCTGTATTGATACCAGGGGTTGCCCTGACCCA